CCCACAAGAACCTAAGAGCAAACCTTTTCCTAGGGAAGAAAAAAAAACTGTCTGCAGAAAATAGACAAGGAATATTGGGCAGAAATGCTCTTTTCTTCTCTAACTCAATTTTCTTTTTTTGCAGGTCTCCTCAATACTTTGGTGCTCACTCAGCTGATATGCTCACAGGGTGTGGTATTAGCATCCATGATGCTCATTCCCCTGGAAGCCTATCAATTGAGTACAGCAACAGTCCCAGTTCATGCTGCAGCACTCTGCAACTTAACCTTCATCAACAACTGTTTCTGGAATTCCCAAAAACAAAAACACCTTGCAATCATAATAACATGGCAGGACTTTAATTGTTGCTATCTGACTCATGTCTCCAATCATCCAGTTTTGGGCCATCTGATTCATGCCTGGAATGTAGGGGTCCAAAAATGTCTTCTCCTATTCTTGCAACATTGTTTCTTCATCACCTGCAGGTTTCCATATACAAGCAGCAATGCCTTCCTCCTCTCTTCACAAATCAACAACAAATCAACTGATTGCAGTCACTACAAGAACCTGCAATCAGTTCTTCCTTACAAAACAGGGGTCATAACTTCCCCCCTCTCCCCAGACTCATATCCAGAATCCACAAGAACCTGGATTATGAGCTCCCTTTTTCTAACAAGTTTGCTATTCATTGCAGGTACAGGAAGCAGACTTGACCAACTGATGCATTTTCGATCAGTGGTATTAGCATCCCAGATGCTCAATCTGTTGCAAATGTATCAGTTGACTCAAGTCTCTCCACCTATTCTCATAGATGACTCTTGGTCCCATCCTCCATGGATACAACTCACAGTACACACAATACTCAACAGACCTCCAGTTTTCAGTAGAATGCAATCTCAGCAAGGACAAACATCACATACTTCTACCTCTCTGAAACTGAAGGATACACAACATGCTACAATCATTAAGCAGGCAAGCACTCAGGCTTCAGCTCAACAGCAAAACAACACCCCTGCCAAGATACAGTACAACATCCAGGAATCAAATGAAGAGCACAGCTTAGCTTTGGGAAGCAAATCATGCTCACTCCCTTCTGTCAGCTTCAAGAAACTGCAACACCATAGTCAGAATGACTGGACTGTTTTGTTTGCTATCTTCAACATAGCTTTCTTTGTATCCAATGTCAAAGCTAGGATGAAGATAGCTCTTACTCTCACTAAAAGTTTTTTGTCATACTCCCATAGGAAACTCTACAATTTCATTAGTTGTAGAAGTGTCTGTATATGGAAGATGTGCTTCCAACTCATCCTTTGCATAGATTTAGGTTTACTTTTGCTATTATATATAGTTGGCCTAGGTTATCTTCAACTTGTTTTTGTATATCTGATTATCTACCACTTAAAGGTAGATAATTGGAACATCATGATAGGTCTAACTTCTCACAGCATACAGGTGTCATTTGATTGTCAATGTTGGACAAACAAATGCCCTTTCATCTTATTTCTGGAGGTCAGGTTTATGTCCTCCTCCATTGTTGTACTTTGTGTTATATATATGAAAATCAATCCTAGGTACAATGCCCAGTAGATTCTGCAAAAAAAAAAAAAAGTTCAAATCCTAGCTCTGCCGATACAAATATACAATATGTATATGTGTTTTAGTTTTACGTGTATGAGGATACGTGCATGTGTTTGTGCAGATCTACTTAACACAGCCTTTGTTAGATAATTAGATATATTCTGAGGTAGAATTTGTCTACCCAGCCTTTGCTTTGTAGTACTAATTAACGGAAATTTAACACAAAGATAAATCTTGCTTTCATTAGATGAGGAGATTACGAATTTAAGCCGTGGAAACTAATAACTACGAATTTTTTGAAAAGATCTCATGAGGAGGGATTGTAAATATCAAGAATACAACCAACATATATGGGACAACTTCAGTACCACCGTACGTACAAAGAAAAGTAATCTTTTTAGATCACCATTTGTTAAGTTTGTTTGTACCATTTAATATGGGGGACAACAATGTTGCATTTACCAGCACACTGATTATCACTAGTCATGAATTAGCAACCTCAAATTTTAGAATTTAAAAGACAATATCGTATGTCTTATGGACGCTTTTCCAGATTTAAGATGGAGATGAACAGACTTCAAGAAGATAAATATCTGAACTCAAAGGTAAAAAATCTTCAGAGACATCAGACAAAATGCAAGGGTCCCTAATTTCTGTATGGATGATCCCGTTCAACACTGGTATTAGTCGCTTTCTTGTTTAGTGTATGTGTTTCTTTGTAGAGACAGATCCACCAACAACAACAACAGCGTACCCAGTATAATCCCACAAGTAGGGTCTGGGGAGAGTAGTGTGTACGCATATTATTAATCTATGTTCGAATAATTTATGCAAAAGTAAAATAGAAACAGAAACAGAAATAAAAACAGAAAGAATTAGAAGTTTTGAGCCCAATAGAAAACTGTGTTTCCTTAAGAAATTTAATCCCCTTATTATTTTTTTGATGAAGAAAAAAAAGATATTATTAATCATCCCAACAACAACTGCATGAGGTATACATTTTAAAACTGTACAAACTAGGAAAGCTAGGTATTGCTGCCAATAATCTTACCATTGTCGCAAAACCTGGCTCTATGTGTTCTATGTGTTATGACCTTTGTCTATATAGTCCACCTTTTACTCCCTGTCCCTCTTACTTCTTTCCTTAGTACCTATTCTATCATTTCTTATTTTACATTCATGCTGAACTTGAGTACAGATAGTCCCTGGGCTAGGGACTCGTTGATGCCATAGTGTTTCATTGCGAGCCTTCCGTATGTAGTACACCGAAGCTGCAAGTAATGTCATTATGAATGATCCGCATCTTTCTCTTTTGACCCCTATTAGCCTTCTCCATATCCCTTGTAGTGTAGTATTTTGTATCCTAATGTTCAACCACTTCAATACTGCAGTTAGGCAAAGCTTTTGAGAACAGGCATTCAAAAAACAAGTGTTCTAACGTCTCAGGAGCATTCTCACAAATTGTATAGTTTGTGTCTTGGATTATCCCTATTTTCTGCATTCTCTCTCTTGTTAGTAGTCGTTTGTGCCCAACCAACCAACGAATAAAGCTATGTTTAGGCACATTTCCTTGATTCCATACCCAGCTGCTCCAAGGCCATTTCTCCGGGTTCCTATTCTCCAAAGGTAACCACTTTTAATGGTATACCTGCCGCTCCTTATCTGCCACCCTTGCTCCACATACCCCTGTACAAACATGTCCCTAATTGTTCAAATTTTCCTCCAATACCTGCAGCAGTCATTGGGAGGTCTGTATTGCCACCAAGAGCTGCCCTTTAAGTAAACATGGTCTATCCATTTCACCCATAAGTCATCTATCTTGTGAGAAATATTCCACACATACTTGGCTATTACTGCCTCATTCCATATCACCCCATTTGTGATTTCCAGCTTCCCCTCCCCTCCCCCCCCCCAACTTTCTTTGGTCTACAGACCAAGTCCCTTGCTACCAATGGTGATTTGTTACTTACATCCTTTCCATCCCATAGAAAGTTTCTACAGATTACTATTATCTTTTTCATCATTGCTTTAGGTAAAAGAAATATGGGTGCCCAATATGTGTTTACATGCATCAATGCTGAGTTAATGAGCTGCACTCGACCTGCACATGATAAGTGCCTCGATCTCCACGCTCTTATCCTAATTATCATCCTGTCTACCAACATCTCACATTCTATACAAGTGAGCTTCTTGGTTGAAATTGGAACTCTCAGTATTTGAATGGTAGAGAACCCGTCTGGTACCCTGTGATGTCACATAAATTCATCAGACATTGTTGACCCATATTGGCACTGAATATATTTGACTTCCCTGCATTGGTGAATCCTGAAGCACTCGAGAAGGACTTTAGGCCTCTTAACATTCAGCAATACTGACTGGTAGGTTCCTTTGCAAAATAGAAGGACATCGCCAGTAAAGCATAGGTAATTCAGACTCAATCCCTTACATTTTGTATGATACTCAAAGCCTAGCATGTTAGCTACCCTCTCATTATTCTGGAAAAGTATTCCATGCAGATGACAAAAATCAGTGGGGAGATTGAATCGCCTTTTCTCAAACCACACTTACCCTGGATATATCCATATAACCCGCTATTCAAAGCAATGTTGTACTGTGTTGTTGATATATAAGTCATCACCCATTTGATGAATTTCACAGGTAAGTTCATAACATGTAACATTTCCTCAACAAATCCCCTTTCAACTGAATCGTATACTTTCTTGGGGGCAATTTTTATCAAGCAACTCTTGGTGGTGGCTTTCCTATTGTAGAGTCTTACTAGATCTTGAAAAATGAGGATATTCTGCACTATACTCCTCCCAGCTAGAAATGCACTTTGGTTGTCAGATATTAGGTCAGGGAGAACTTGTTTGAGCCTATTACAAAGCATCTTCGATATGATCTTGAAAATAGTATTGCAACATGCTATTGGTCTGTAATCCCCTATATTGATGCATGAGCACTCCTTGGTATCAATGTAATAACTATGTTATTCAATACTTTAAGCATCTTTCCACTTCTAAAGAATTCCATCACAACTTCTACCACATCTTTCCCTACTATTTCCCATCCAACTTTAAAGAATTAGCTACCAAATCCATCTGGGCCTGGTGCCTTGTCTCCAGTAGTAACCCATATTGCTTTCTTGACCTCACTTCCAGCAAATTTCTCTTCTAATTATGTTCTTTGTACAGTAGAATCAATAGGATCATGTCTTACCAAGCTTCTACATACATGCTCCCTGTCACTTTTATTGGTTCCCAATAGTCCTTCATAGAAGGTGATAAAAGCCTTAGCTACCCCCTCCAGATCAGTGATGTTCTGCCTTTTTGCATTGTCAATATAGAATATTTTGTTGGAGTTTCTTCTTGCTTTCATAACACCGCGGAAATTTTTTGTATTCATGTCCCCTTAAGTCAGCCTGTGTACTTTGCATTGTTGCCTCATGAATTTTCCCTAGCAACATTCAATGTTTTACATTCTTGTGAGAGGTTAGTTTCTTCAGCTATCAAGTGAATGTTATATAGATCCAATTGAATTTTTTCGTGGCACTTTTGAAACTTCTGTATTGCCTCATCTGCCTTCAGTTCAACCTTACTAAACCTGTCTTTATTCAGCTCTTGCAGTGTACGTTTGATCTTGTTCAATTTTCTCACTAATTCATACATCTCAGTGCCCTTCCTGTCAGTCCACCACCCTGCTTTTATTTTCTCCTTGAAGTCTAAGGCCATACTCCACATATTAAAATATCTGACTCTTTTGTTCTTTGGTTGACTTCCATTTTCCCAACTGATAATGGCTGGATAGTGATCAAACAACCCATCACTCCTATAATGTACCATTGATGCAGGTAGGTTTATTCCCCACTCAGCATTGACCATCACTTTAACTATTCTACTTCGTACCATATCCCCTCGACTTTGCTTGTTTGCCCATGTGAAAAAAGCTCCAGAGGATTTAAGGTCCAACAATGAGCAATTCTCAACACAGTTTTTAAAGTCTCTTATCTCTTCCATTATGATCGGGCTTTGCACTCTCTCTTCTTTACGTAGAACACAATTAAAGTCCCCATTATCGCCCACGGCCCCTCATTTGAGCATGAATTTCTTTAACTGCCTACCAGAGTTCTCTTCTTAGTGCAACATCATTGAAAGCATATACCATAGTCACATGAAACTTTCTTCCAGTCCTTCTATGTTGTATCTCACAGTGAATTAGTTGTACTATCATTTTAATTATATTAACTCCATATAGCATTGGATTCCATAGAATCCATATCCTTCCACCTAGATGCTGGGATAGGTTTGTGCTGAATGACCAGCCTTGACAGAGGTGAAGAGAGACTAGTTCGGCTTTTGCTCTCTTCACCTTGGTTTCCAGGAGACTAAACACCCCTACCTTTTTTGCATTATGCATGAACAGACGAATCTCAGTCTATTAGGTAGGTTTATTTACTCCCCTAGTGTTCTAGAAACCAATACTGTCCATTAGGATGGGGGAGGACCCCACTTTTGCCAAGTCCTAGCTCCCCTCCACCATGCACTTCTTCAAGAAAAGAAGAGCTTGGTTCTTCTGAGTATTTGTTCCTTCCTTCAACTGGTTGTTGCTCCACTAGGATAGAAAATGTTTTCTCTAGCTTAATGGTTGTATTATGCATGGTCACCCCTTTTTAAAAATATTTCCTCGACTTGAATCCTTGTTGGTTGACTTGCTTGCTTGTTATCTTCTTGATCTGGTTTTCCCCCTTCTCTACGGGTACTTTGTCCGCTATATCTGTTATTTTTCCCAAGCTAGTACTAGTCAATTGTTTTTCCCATCCCTTGTTGGTCTTTACTCCCTTCCATTTTCTCCTGCTTACTCTTTTCTTCCTAGAGAAATTTCCTACACTCTTTCATTTCATTTCATGGCCATAGTTACCATATTTATCACATAAAATAGGCTTCCACTCATATGTTATAGTTTGCTCTATCACTTCGCCGTACTCATTTTCAAACAATATGAATGTAGGGTATGTTTAATTTAGTGCAATCTCCACCAATAATCAAAACATATGTTAGCCTTTCCCTCTGTGTAGTTGCACTATCTGCTTTGAGTGGCTACCCTATCAGCCCTGCTATTTTGGTCAAAGCATTCTTGCCCCAGTATTTGATGTCCAATCCTGAGAGTATTACCCACACATGTATCTTCTCCATTTGAGTCTTAGAGAAGTCCATATCTGGTTTCCATGGTTTTACTATGATTGGCTTTTTGTCGAACATTTGGAACCCCTCCTCTACCACTCTGTTCCTGTTCTCCATATCATGATATCGTACAATGAAAACATCACGATTAATTTGTGCAACCTTACCAGTACCTAATTTTCCCCATATCTGCCGAAAGTAGCCATCCATTACTAGTTGAGGAGGATTGGATCCTAAGACGTAACAGACCACCGTCGATGCGCAAAACTCCACTTCATCTTTAATATCATCTAGGGTAATTTTCACATTCATATGACTCTCTACTGGTTTGCTCAAATCAAGTCCATCTGTGCTCCGAATTGCTCCTACTACACGACTCCATGATTTAGGGTTTGAAATTGAATTCGACAGCGTACCTTTGTCCTCACTATCTGTCACGACCCTAGTTCACCAACCGTGAACATGTCATGACGGCACCTGGTCCCCCATGACCAGGTAAGCCTAACATTTGCGAAAATATAATAATTGCGGAAAAATAGAGAAAAATCAAATCAATTATCTAAAGGAAACTGTACTGAATGCCGCTTGGCAAGTACAACTCAATATCACAAGTCTAAAACAATTCCCAAAACCCGGAAACTCACGGGCAACACAGGCTACAGAAGTGTATAGTAAAGGTACCAAACTCCAGAATTTCTAGCAACCGAAAGAAGGAAAACTAAGTACTAAAGATAGAGTGAGAGGGAGACTCGTCGGTCTGCGGACGTAGCAGATCTACCTCGAAGTCTCCGTAGTCCTCCTGCCTCACTGATAGTGCGCCTGAGTGGAGGTACCTGGATGATCTGCACATGAAAAACATGTGCAGGAAGGGCATGAGTACACCACAGCGGTACTCAATAAGTGCCAAGCCTAACCTCGGTTGGGTAGTGACGAGGAAGGTCAGGGCCCTACTGAGACAAAATATATTAATAATAATAATTTAACAATATAAAAATCTGACAGATATAATAAGTACAGCAGTGAGATAAGACAAGTCAACGAGGCTATAACAACTACACGAGTACAGAATGAACACAGCTCAACACCAATGATAACAATGAGGGTCTCCCAGGATACCGTCCTGTAGCCCTTTTTCTCATCTGTCCGGTAGATCTCCCGAGATACCGTCCCGTAGTCCATCATATGTGTACATCCGAAGGATCTCCCGGGATACCGTCCCGTAGTCCAACCACCAATGTGCAGGGGGATCTATCGGGAATCTAAACCGCAGTCCCAAAGTAAAAGTGCAGAGGGATCTATCGGGAATCGAACCCGCAGTCCCAAAGTAAAAGTGCAGGGGGATCTATCGGGAATCGAAGCCGCCGTCCCAAAGTAAAAGTGCAGGGGGATCTATCGGGAATCGAACCCGCAGTCCCAAAGTAAAAGTGCAGGGGGATCTATCGGGAATCGAACCCGCAGTCCCAATGTAAATGCGCAATCATAACCAGAAGGTACACGGAAACGAAGTACAAAAGACAAGCAACAGGTAGTACTGGCCTAGCATGCTTCACGTAGTACAGTTAAGGCAACTTAAGCAATTAGGCAAGTTAAATCAACTAAACATGCTTTCCTAATCTAGCACAGGTTATAATTGCAAGTAGAATAAAGCAAATATGAAAGGAACTCAATCTCAATATCTTAAGAAAATCGGATTTCCAACAATTGGCTCAAGTACGCGCCCGTCACCTCGCGTACAAGGCACTCAAATCAACAAATAACAAATCCTAAGGGGAAAGGTCCCCCACACAAGGTTAGACAAGCCACTTACCTCGAACCGGCTCAATATCAATAGAAACCACGCCTTTGCCACGAGTATCCGACTCCAAATGGCCCAAATCTATTCAATTCAATTACATATCGTAAATAATATTGCAAACAACTGATTCCACTATTAAATTTAGAGCTAGGGCGCGAAAATAGGTAAAATGACCAAAATGCCCCTCCAGCCATCGTCTCGGAATCGAATAATTTTTACGTTTTCAGAACCCTCGTACTCTCACGAGTCTAACCATATAAAAATCTCCCAAATCGGAGGTCAAATGACCCCTCAAAACCCCATAGTTAGGTCTAAGAAGTTTACCCACTTCCCATTCAAAAACACGAAATTAAAGGGTGAATTTGCGATTAGATTAATGGGTTTTAGTCATAGGAGAGTAGAGAATCGTTACCCGGTGATTGCCCTTGAAAAACCCTTGAAATTGCTCCCAAGTTCGAGCTCCAAACCTTGAGTTTTGATAAAAATGGCAAAACCTCGTTTTTGAAATGTTAAGTACTGTTCAGGAGTCTAAAGCATCGCGAACGCGATAGGAAGCACGCGTTCGCGAAGAAGGAAAATATCAGGGCCCAAAAATGCCCTTCGCGATCGCGAAGGGAGGAGCGCGAACGCGAAGGCCAGGGGATCAAGAACTACGCGAACGCGACAAGGCTTACGCGATCGCGATGGAGGAAATAGTGAAGCTACGCGGACGCGGGTGATCTTATGCGAACGCGAAGAGGAACGGGCCCCCCTCTCCAGACTTACACTACGCGAATGCGGGAGAGTGGCCGCGAACGCGATGAGAGGATAGGCTACTGCTACGCGAACGCGGTGCCTTCTTCGCGAACGCGAAGAAGGAATTCAGACCTGCAACTTTCTGCAATATTTCCAAACTTCATATTGCTCGGATGAGCATCCGAAACACACCTGAGGCTCCCGGGTCTCAACCAAACCTACGGACATATCCCATAACATCATTCAAACTTGTACCAATCCTTAAACCACCTAAAACAACGCCGGTAACACGAATTAATCAAATATTCAAGCCTAAGAACTTCAAATTCCAACGAAACACACTTTCGATCAAAAACCTAACCACACCTCGTCCGATTGACCTAAAATTTTGCACGCACGTCCCAAATGACATGACGGTGCTACAGAAACTTCCGGAATTCCATTCCGACCCTCAGATCAAAATTTCACTATCGGACCGGAAATTTAAAAAATTCATACTTCGGCATTTCAAGCCTAAATGAGCTACGAGCTTCCAAAATTCATTCCGAACACGCTCCCAACCCCGAAATCACCTAATGGAGCTAACAGAACTATCGGATTTCCATTCCGAGGTCGTCTTCACATTGTTTCGATTACGGATCATCTTTCAACACTTAAGCTCTCATTTAGGGACTAAGTGTCCCAAAACACTCCGAACCCTAACACCGAACGTCCCAGCATACCAAAATAGCAGAATGAACTTAGGGGAAGCGGTAAATGGGGGATCGGGGCATAAATTCCAAAAATGACCGGCCGGGTCGTTACACTATCTATGACTTCCTCCTCCACCATGTCATCCCAGGATGTCATCCCCAAACTTAGATCCACACATTCCCCACCTCTGTTCACTGAATTGCTCCTTTGCTGTGTTTTCGATGTGGACGCTATGGTTAGATCCAAAGGAATAATTCATTGGATTTCATCGATGATACGTTGCTCCTTCGCATTAGCCGAGTCTGAAATTCCCGTCTTTTACATGGTTATTCCTTAGTTACTACCTTTCGATTGCTGTCCCCTCCCTCTAGTCTTCGATTTTCTCGTCATCAGCGAAGCTGAGAGAAGCTCTCATTCCATAGAGAGAAAAACTTTTTCATCGCAAAACATTCCCTTATTGTTGCTCAAGGTTATTGGAATAATTCCTACTAGGATAGAATAGAACAACTATTCTATAATACCGGCAATAGAAATTACAGAATTTCATCGAACTCAACAAACGGCAGTAAACTACATTGATGCTTAGTTTTGCTGTGAAAACAATGCAGAAATG